CAAGGTCAGCATTTCGAACCCACGAGTCACCCTGCGAGAAAAAGTTGAGGCTGTCCACTCACACAAAGATTTGTAGTCTCAGTTTCTAAGCAGTAGTTCTGTTCTGTCCTAAATGGTCACTATGAGTCAGAATCAACACAATGGCAGTGGGGTAGGATGGATAGGGTTCCTGTGAGTTGGAATTCAACTCGACAGCAAAGGTTTTGCTTTTTTAGTATTTTCACAGTAGCCTATGCTGGTTTCTATGGAGCTCTGGTGACACAGTGATTATGAGCTGTACTGCATTCTGCAAGGTAGTAGTTTGAAACCACCTGCTGCTCTTCTGGAGAAAGATAAGGCTTTCTACGCCTGCAAAGAGTTATAGTCTCAGAAACCCACAGGGGTTATTCTCCCCGGTACCACAGGATTGCTATGAATTGGAGTTGACTTAATGAAGTGAGTTTTGAGACACTTGCTTCTATGTCTCTATTTATCAATGTCTCTATTAATATGCCACTTAGGAACTAAAATTGCCTGTTTGCTTGCCTTCCTTCCTACTTGACTCCAGGACCCGTAAAAGAAGAAACAATATATTAACCATTATTGTATACCCATTGTTTAAGAATATTTGGCATATAATAGATATTCAATAAAAATTGTTGAATAAATGCTTTCAAGTCTTTGGATTTTTCTCCAAAGCTAGAAGAACTTCTATAAAAAACAGTTAATAAAAAAAAAAACAAAAAACAGTTAATCAAACAAATTCTTTAAAACAACCTATTTGATAGTCAGGTTTGTCCTTTTATAATGTAATCTCCATACAAGCACAGTTTTTGTATTGTTCGTTCTATATCTTCAGTGTATAGACCATACATGACATATAGTGACATCTCAATATTTATTTGCTAAATGAGTGAATCATTAAGTTAGACTTTCTCCATACCCCTGCTGAATAAGTGCCTAAGGTCTTTTTCTCATATTTTATCAATGTTCACTATTTTAATTCTTATCAATAACCATTCCTAACAACAGGTAACTGATATGGTTTAGTTGTTAAAGTAACACAATTAAATATGTATTGCCAGTGCCCTCTCTCACAATACACACTTTTGTAATACAAAGATTTCCTGTTTTTAAGGTTGATGCTTCCACTCTTCATATCTTACTAGTTGGGGATGCACCTCCACTACCCTCATCTCATTTCCTCTAAGTGGCATTCTTTCTCGTGGTTTTATGTGTGCAAGACTACAATCAGATATGAAATTTGCATTCATACTTTCAGTCGCAGAGAAAGATGCATCTAACGTTAACTCGTCCAGAGGAATCACAAGTTGGCCACCTGCTTCCCACTTCCTCCGGTCAGACGAAACAGGCGTTCCTTCTTTGTGCTCTTCGGCATCTTCGTGAGTACTCATCACACAAATGTCTGAGCGGTGCTGCTTCCCTTTTTCATCATCCTCTTGAGCTTTAAGATTTTGATTTAATCTACGTAGTATTTCTCGTTTATTCTGAAAGAGTTATAACCAGGTATTTTAATATGCCTATGTATTAAGCAAAATAATTGATAGAGAAACTCTGGTAACTGTACTTACTGAAATAGAATTGTTGGTCTTTTGCATTTCTTCTGAGGTTGCCTGGATATCAGTTAAGCTGTCCTTTAAACACAGTTAGAAATAATATCTTAAATGTCTACATTTGAAAATGTAATACTTTGTTACTTTTGACGTTTCATTAAAATGTCTCTCATGGTTTTATTCCTGTAAAATGTTAACACAGCTTCCTCAGCCATAAGCAATGAAAGGTACTTAAGCATTACCAACTATGAAACATGTATGTTACATAGAAAGGCTAATTCTCAATTATTTGTCATAGTTTTGGATTATATATCACATAGTTTACTATTTCCTCTTTTTTAACAGGTACCTACCTGAATTTTGGTAATCTTTAATCAATGGTAATATGAATTCATGCCCTCTTAATTAGAGCTCAGGGAAGTTTGATGGGTAAGGTAATTCAAGATCGAATGTTCTTTTTATACTCTTGCTGTGGTTCATATGTAAATCTACATAT